CCTTTGGGAGGTTGGGTAGCTGGGGCCTCTTTGGGGGAGGAAGGAGTCATAGCCGGGAGAGTGGAGATCTCTTTAGGGGATAGGGTTGCTGGGCCGCCTTTGGGGGAGGAAGGAGCCACAGCTGGGGCAGTGGGGGCCCCTTTGGGAGATGGAGTAGTTGGGGCTCTTTTGGGAGGCTGGGTAGCTGGGAACTCTTTGGGGGAGGGGGGAGGCACAGCTTGGGTGGTGGGGCCCCCTCTGGGAGGTTGGGTAGCTGGGGCCTCTTTGGGGGAGGAAGGAGTCATAGCTGGGGGAGTAGAGGTCTCTTTAGGGGATGGGGTTGCTTGGCCCCCTTTGGGGGAGGGAGGAGCCACAGCTGGGGCAGTGGGGGCCCCTTTGGGAGATGGAGTAGCTGGGGCTCTTTTGGTGGCTTGAGTTGCTTGGGATTCTTTGGGGGAGGGAGGAGCCACAGCTGAGGCAGTGGGGGTCCCTTTGGGAGACTGAGTAGCTGGGGCTCTTCTGGGGGCTGGGGCTGCTTGCGACTTTTTGGGGGATGAGATTGCTGGGCCTCCTTTGGTGGAGGAAGGAACCACAGCTGGAGTGAAGGGAGTGAGGGCCTCTTTGGGCGATGGGGTATCTGGGGTCTCTTTGGGGGATGGAGTGGGGGAATGCTTCTTGGCCAGTGACCCTTTAGGGACTTGAAAAGAAAGACTGGCCTCTGGAAGAAAGGAAGCTTCAATTGGAGAAATAGGGGATGAGTGATTTCCAGCAGGAATATCAGGGATAGCAGGAACACTTTTTGAAAGAGGAGAAAGAGTTAAAGTCATAGAAGGAGTTGAACCCTTCTTGGTTGGACATCTTTTAGTTTGAGGAGACACACTAGTCCCTAAAGGAGATGGAGAGTCAGCTAAGTAAGCTCCTTCAGAAGATGCATTAACTGAAGTACCAGAGTCCTTGGTTGGGTGCCCTTCAGGAGAGGAAGCTACAGGTGCCAACGCAGAGGTATGAGAAATACTGTGAGCTTTCTTTGCACCTTGAGGAGGAAGAGAGGGAAACGGCTCAGACTTGGGAATATCAGGGGCTAGTGCCATGGCAACTGGAAAAGCAGAAGCATTCTGGGGGGATAAAGTCACAGTTGGAGCCACAGGGCAACTTTCAGAGGCTGGAGGAACCAAAGGTAAAATAGTAAGAGTGGAACTACTCTTCTTATCTGGGTGGCTTTTATGAGCTAAAGAGACATCTCCTAGGAAAGGGCTGGCTGTAGTGGCAGGAGTGGAGGTACCCTTGGTAATTGTAGGAGCCACTCCTGCAGTAGCAGCATGTTCCAGAGGAAATGTAGCTATGTTTGGCGTAGTGAGAGAACTTTTGAGAAGCTGACTAGTGGGGTATGGACTTGCACAAGGATCTGTCTTGATTATAGAAGCTGGGGAGTTAACACCCAGAGGAGAGGGAGCAGTACTGGCTGGCGTAACTACAGAGAGAGGCTCTACAAGGCTTTTCTTTGCTAAAGTGGCTTCAGGAGAAAGAGCTATCTCCAGAGATGATGATATACTTTGGGGAGAGGGGGGATTTTTAGGGGTTGCCAGGGCCAATGGTATTAGAGTAGAGTCTTTCTTGGTAGGGAGTCCTGCCTGTGCTGGGGAAACAGGGGCTCCAGTAGGAGAGGGAGGTTCAATTTGGGTATCTTTTTGTGTTGGTAACTTTACCAATGCTGATGCAGGGAGACTTTTGGGGTTCTCAGAGGCTGACAGAGGAGGAGGGACTGGTATTCCCAGAGGGGTTACTTGAGGAGTAGAAAGCACTCTGGGAGCCACAGGAGCCATAACCAAGGCAGTATGGGAAGCTGAGTCCTTACTACTTAAGGGGCCTGAAGAAACTGGAGGTGACATACAAGTAGCTACCTCAAAGGTAGTAGGTGCCGCAGAAACTGTAGAGGGGTTAGTCATAACAAATGGGATGGTTCCAACAGAACAAACAGGAGCTTCTTTCAAGCTTGGACTCCCTGGAGGAGAAGGAATTTGGGCCACCAAAGGCTGATGATGAGTGGCATTAGGAGAGCCTTTCGGAATGAGAGAGGCTGTGGGAGATAATGGAGAAGAGGTAGCTACATTTGATGAGCCAGAAGGGCTGAAGGAAGCTACGCCAGTGATGGCAGAGGGGTCTTTCTCAACAGAAAGAGCTAGAGGGGTAGCTGGAGCCCCCACTGGAAAAGCAGCCACAGCAGCAGGAGCCACCTCATTTCTGGAAGGAAGGGGAGGAATCTGAGAGGGGTAAGAGGCCCCTACGGGAGAATGATCTGCAGAAACGGCATCTACTTTAGGATTTGACAGAACATTAGGGCCTGTCTGACCTAAGGGCCGAATAGGAGAACCAAGAGAACTCTGATGTAAAGGTGCAAGATGAGAGCCTAGAGAAGTGAGGAAAACTGGAGGGACGCTGGGAGCCATAGATACAGACTGGGTGGAAAGAGATAACGCAGCAGGTGAACTAAGGGGTCCCTTTAGGCTGACACCTTCAGGGTTTTGTGAGCAAACAGGGATGTCTTTGAACTGAGGGGGAGTGATGGGTGGCATTTGAGGACATGAGGCTACTCCACACTGAACAGAGGCCAAGGGAGTTCCAAGATGGGAAGGAACAGCACTGACTATACCTGGAGGGATGGGGATGCCTTTTGAGTTAGGGCCTACTTGCACAGGAGCTTGGATAGGAGAGGTCTTTGGTTCTGAGGAAACAATGGGAGCAGACAGAGATGTCACTGACCCTGACTCAGTCACAGCAATCAAAGGAGGTGAACTAAGAGGGTTAAGTGGATAAGCAGAGCTCTTCTGAACTGAGTGCGGAGCCAAAGCCACTAGAGCCAAGGGAGCTGAAGAGGAATGGGCACCTTTCACAGTTGGAGTTATCATGGGAGAGGCCAGAGCTAAGGCAGCTGGGGAGATGGGAGGCCCTATCAGGTTTGGTAGGAAAGTTGGGGTATCACTGGGGGAAGGGGAAACTCCCAAAGGCAGGGCTGTTCCAGAGGATGACTGGGGAAAAGGAGCTTCAAAAGGGGTTGAGACAACACTAGAGGGAGAAAGGAATGGGGAAGGCTGGTTAGGGGTTGCCAGAGGGCATTGTTGGGGGGCCAGGGAGCAAGGAGGGGAAAGGGTAGATTCAGGCTGCCCTAAGGCAGCAGTGACACTCAAGGCTGAAGACACAGGAAGCACAGCTGGAGGAGGAAAGCAAAAAAGGGGATAAAGAAGGAAAGGGAAGGAAAAAAACAAAGGTGAGTTATGAAGCCCAACTTGGTACAACATGCCTCACAGGAAACAAGGAATTTTTAATCCGAGAATGAAAGTCACCACACAGGATTAGACAAAGGTGACAGGCAACAGCAACCTTCCCCAAACATACTTCGGTGGTCGAGTAAGAATACATCCCTCTCCCCATCTCCCACATTTCCCATGTTCTACCCCCCCCCCCACAAGCAAACTATTTTAAAGTGGAGATAACAGTCTAAGCAGCCTATTAGTCTCTAAATGGGGAGCACAGGCCTAGGAGTGGGTTGGGAACAGCATGCTTTCTACCCTTTCCCAGATGTGCCCTCCCTTCCCTCCTTGAATGAACCCAAAGGCTTTCTTACAGGCCATAGAATACCAACAGAATAGCTGTTCTACTGTCAAGGATCATGAACTAACTGAAACAGATACTGAAAATTGGAACAAGGAAGGCAGTGAGTGGTGATAATTATGGGGAGTCGGAACTGAATGAAAAAAAGAACTCCCCCCCACCCCCACCAAAACAAACCACGTCTTTATATGCTCAGGCTTTCACTAGGTCAAGAAAAATCTGACTCTTAGAATAAAGTTTTAGGAAGGTGGTGTCGACATACAATTTTATGTGAAGTATTAAATACTAAGTCACTTTGCCTCCCTATGCCTCAGTTTACCTACTCACCCAAAACAAACAAGCAAAAAACCAACCACAAATGGGTGGTACTTCATAATGCCTACACACCTTCCTAGGTATTGTTAGCTCTTCAGACATCAATTTAAGATGAATTAGACTGCCAGGGCGAGAGCTTAGTCACAGGGTAGGGGTTGTATTATGAAACTGTAGCCCAACTTGTTAAACCAGACTGTGGTTCTATTTTGGAAGTAGGGAACTGGAGTGGAGAATACACTGGCTCTCCACCCCTTAATCTGGATAAGTATGTCATTCTGCCAAAATAGACCAATGTTCAGTACTAGAGTAAAGCTCAGTAAAAGATTTTCTGAATGATACAAATTCACAATTCAACCAGTAATTCTAAAATTGTTACAGTATCCTACTACAGAAAGGACAGGTGGCTCAACCAGTTTTTCCTGGAGAGTTGGTAGGTCAAAGTCTTACGACTACAGTGCAAATGCCTCCAAACATATGAATCAGAATTTGAAATTTAGAATGTTTTCCTCTGACTGGACTTCAAGATGGGATAAGGCCCAATTTACTTGCTTTAGACACCATAACCAATTCCTTGGGCTAGTTTCTGCATTCGTTATAATAATTACTTAGTTACAGTTATAGAAAAAATTCAGAGTTTTACCACTGGCACTCCCTTAGTATTACTAAACCTATTGTGCAAGCTCAAACTATTCAGAAATAAGCTTAACAGCACTCCAGGATGACTTCAGAAGCAAATGGCATGAGGCTTGAAACCAGATTATTCTAAATTCATCTTTATTTCAGTCTCCACATTTGTAAAATCAAATTGTTCAGTAAGATTTTGGTTAGCACTGGATCTTTAGAGACCAGTCCTTTATTTTTCCTTCCATTAAGTCCCTTGTACTTCAAGGATTTCATATAGCTTGTTCACTAGCTTAGAGGCCCCCTCCTTTTTCTTTTCTAGCAGCTGTATTAATCCCTTCAGCTGCTAAAATCAGACAGGTGGGGAGAGAGAACCTCAATGCTTTCAACTATAAACAACTCTATTTTAATTCCAGAAGGGGAAAAGAATTGCCCTTAAGTGACAGGTGGAGTTAAAAAAAATAATTTATAATAAGAAAAAGTGATGATGGAAGTTAGTCTGAAGATTCCCTTCATTTATTTCAGCACGACTGATGCAGCAAGAAGAGCATCATTAAATATTTTTTTCACTACCCCCTCTCAAGTTTTCTAGAGAAGTATTTTAACCAGAATTCAAAACTTGCCTTTACACTATGTTTATATCCATCAATTTCAAAGCTGAAGAACAGTCAAAGGAAAGCTTTATTTCAATCTTGGGTTCCAGGCAAGCTGTTGATGCAGGCACTATTCCAGCACACTAGAAACATCTTAGCACCAACCCATAAAATAAGTTAACCAACCTAGGAGGGCCCTGGGGCCCAGTAGGACACATTTACCACCAGCACACATCTCATCCAGACATGTGATGAAGGCACAATGCCAAGCTCTGCCATCTAAAACCTTGATGCAACTTGCTGGCTGGAACTTCACAAAAGCTCAGGTCTCCTTGGCCTGCAAGTGTGTCATCCAGTTCCAATAGGTAAGAATCACCAACCCCCTTCCCTGCTCAGCTTTTGTGTGTGAGGTGAGGGCTCCACAGAACGCCCTGTGAGGCAGTTGCCATAGCCTACAAAGCAGGCCGGGAGCTTTTTATGCTCCTGGATCTTAAATATACTGTTTATATTCCATCCTCTAATGAAGTCCCTCCAGGACGGCAGTTAATATCACGGATTCTCCTCCCTGGTAAAGCTACAGCCATCTTTATAATGAGTTAACTCTGAAAAACCGGAGTGTATCCCCTTTGCCATTTTAACCCACCAAATGGTCTTAGGGTCAGTCTTACAATTTTAATGAACAGTAAGGGCGCTAGGGGAACCTACCTGTCTCAGCCTGGGGCTGTGGCAACTCCTGCTCTGTAGCAGGGACGGTTTCTGTGGCTTCACCAGGCATTTCTGAAGGGAATAAAAAGGAGGCCTGAATTGACTGGGATCCGTTCTGCTGCCCAACCCAGAGTCAAATATTCTTAAAAACTCTGCTGGTAAAAAAAAAAAAAAAATCGTGAGGGTGTCTCGGGACAATCCTCCCCAAAGCAGCTGGGAATAGGTAAGAAATAAGACGTGACCCTCAGATCTCTGATCAAGCGAATCACCTTCTACCTCTTTACTCCGCAGTGGAACAGACTTCTAGTGCCCAGGGGTTCCTTTTACTCTACACTCCAAATCCCACAAAGGCAACAATCACCACTGCGTTCTCAACCCGAGGGAGAGGATTCCGGTCTGGCTCCCGACCACCGGCGACTTCAGACGCTACCTTGCACCACCTCCCCACCACCTCCTCTCCTACACAGACGCCGCCTGGGCTGGGACCACCAGGTCTCCCGTTTGCCGACTTTCGGGAACCAGGAGAGGGGAGACGGTGCCTTAAGTCCCAACACTCGCTTGTCACAATTAAGAACAGCGTGTATGTGTGTGGGTGTGGGGGGGCTGTTCCAAGGCTGTGACCCCCTTAACCTCCTTTGGGTTCTCGTGAAGCCGTTCCCAACAGTAGACGCACTCCGCTTCCGCCCCCCGCACCGCAACGGCTCTATCTCCCCAGCCCTGGCCTCCAGGCCCCGCACGCGGCCCTTCTGCCCCGCTTTTGCCAGGATATCCACCGCAGACCCCATTTTGTCCGGAGGCCCCAAGGCCACCCTTCTCAGGGCCGAGTGGGAACCCGGTAGCCCCATAAAGCCTCCAACTTCCCTTAGCTCTCAGTCTCTGGGGCGGCTTGGTCCGCAAGAAAGGCGGATGTCTGCGGATAGAGAGTGGCGGCGAAGACAAGACTTACTGTGAGGGGAACGCGGAACCAAGATGGCGGCAGAAAGAGAGCGAGCGAGAGCGTGACCCACGCCTGTTGCAGAAAGAAGCCTGGCGGAGGGGGCGGGACCAGGATCCGATTCCGGGTCAGGAGCTGCCGGCAGTCACTTCCTTTAACAAGTGACCCGTCCTACTGTTCCCAGATGGGGTTGGTGACGAGGTCTAAATAAGGGTAAGAATTCAGAACAGGACGCGCTGGCCTGGCAGGAACCTCAGCTCGCTCCCTAGATAGCCGACGCTTTCCCGTCCCCTAAGTCGAGGCATTTCTTTTTTTAAAGATTTTATTTATTTGACAGAGACAAAGCGAGAGAAGGAACACAAGCAGGGGGAGTGGGAGAGGGAGAGGCCGGCTTCCAGCTGCGCAGGGAGCCCGATGCGGGGCTCGATCCCAGGACCCTGAGATCCTGACCTGAGCCGAAGGCAGACGCTTAACGACTGAGCCACCCAGGACCCTAAGCCAAGGCATTTTTGATACCCGAAGGGAAATTGTAATGAGAGAAGCAACCTCTGCCCTCTGGTCAGTAAAGTAGCCACAGCGGTATTAGGGTGACTTTTTGATTTCCCCTTTTCAACTAATGCAGGGAAATAGGAGAAACGAAATAATATCGAACGCCACAGATTGTAGTCACATCATTGTAAGGTAGCAGTGACTTAGGTTAACTCTCAATTATTTTATTTTTGGAATACACATTTTTGACTGATGTTGAAACTATTAGATTACACTCCTCAGAAAAAAGAACATAGGCACATATACAATTCTTTTTGCCTGCTGTTTTGGGCAGATAGATATCCTGAAACTCATACATTCTAGTAGTCCCAGCCCCCACGTTAAGAACTCATGCTTTACACAGTTAAGATTCCTGAAAGTAGAATGTAAATTCAGTGTTTTGTTAATGAAAAGCCATGGGTCCTGATCCCCATGCCCTCTCTCAGCCCTATAAAAGGACTCAACAAATACATTACCTAAGTCAGCTAGCACTATTTGAGCTAAAGGATTTACGACAATTGTGGCTGCCTTTTAAGGGAGACAGTGACGTTATGCTCTGAAAACTACTTGTGAAGTGAGGATTAATAAATTAGGATTAAATGAAATAGTGGAGTTTACCAGCAATGAGAAATTCTGAAAATTTTTTCAGATAGGGGTGGCAATATTGTGGAATGAACTCTGTAGGGGCGCCTGGCTGGCTCAGTTGGAAGACCATACACCTCTTGATCTCAGGTTCATGAGTTCAAGCCCCATGCTGGGTATAGAGATTACTGAAATAAATAAACTTAAATATATATATATATATGAAGAATATGGACTCTGTAGCTGTACTCCGTCTGAATTACAGCTTAGTCACCTCATAGTGACCTTGGGCAATTTAATTAACCTGTTTGTGCCTCAGTTTCCTCATCTAAAAACTGGAGATATAGTAGCTACTTCATAGGATTGTTAGGAAAATTAGGTACTATATGTACATTACTTAAAAAGTGCTTACTATTTTTTCTAAGTAAATATGTGATCTGGAAGATTTGTCAGCACAGTCCATTTACCTTAAGAAGAAAGGGCCAGCAATAGCCAATCATCTTCTTAGACAAGTAAAGCTATTTTGACCATTTCACTTTCTTTTCCATCAAGCCACTGACTCTTCTCTCTGTTGTTAATGACTAAGGAAGGATGTATTTTCTTTCTTTGGATTTCTTTATAAATTGGGCAAATTTAGAGATGGAAGTCAGTTCTGTGCCCTTTGTTTCTACAATTCTCATATATGGATGAGTTGGTAAAATCAGAGAATAGGGAAGTCAATAGTTTTTTTTTTTTTTTTAAAGATTTTATTTATTTATTTGAGACAGAGAGAATGAGA